TAAATATTGGTATTTTTGTATTCCAGAGATATTCCCAATAGAAAAATTAAAAGTTAATCAGTATCTAATTTAATAATCGTATTTTTCCTTAGATTTTAGTCATTAACAGTGGGATACGTGGATGTCACTTGTGCTTCACCATGCTTTACCACTAGGTGTCACTGTGGCTCTGCACTACACTTGCTTGAAAAGCAAAAGAAAGGCAGCCTTCTCAAGGAGCTGCTTCCAGGGCAGCAAATAGGCCATAGACTGAGGTTTAGGAAGAAGGGAAAGGCCTAGAAGGGTCTTCATGCGTCTATGCCAGTTGTAGCAAGACAGATTAAACACTACCTGCTTTGGAATTTCAGCCAGGAATAGGCTGGAAGAAGCCTGAGTAGCTATAGATGGCTGGATGTGGAGAGGACCCTCCCCCTCCTTCCCCATGAACATCCAACTTTTCAGCCTCCAACTTTTATAACTCCAGAAATATCACAGCTGGGTAGTTTGACTCAAAGATAGTTATTTTTCTACTGCAAAATGCCATGGACAAAACCAGTTGCTCACTGAATCTTTGCCACAAAATGGAGCAGGCGCCCCAAGCAGGCAAGACATGCCTGCCCATACCGTTTCTTATCTCAGTGCTCAGCAGCTTCATTCACCCTTCCTCTCTGTCCTTGGGCTGCCACTTCTCAAGAAACCGACCTGCAAAGGCAACCTGCTGCTGCCTCCACACCAAGGGCCATGCTTCACTGGGCGGTGTGGCTTCTCTTCTTCCTCTAGATATTCCAGATTGACCATCTACCATGACTAACAACAATGAACAAAGGGCTTAGGGGTAAGAGCTACCTACAAAGACGTGTCATGGAAACCTTCACCATGCAATGCCTTGAATTCAGCTCTGGCTGCTCCCAAGAAAAGGTGGCTGGCTGGGGGCCTGGACAAAAGCACAATGGGGCTGGTGGAGCCACTGTGCAGAGCTACTTGAATAATCACTGGGTCTTCATCAACTCCTTTTGTAATACAGACCACTCAAGGGCTGAAGTGTTGGTAACCTTCATTTCGGTGTCCAATGCCTCACAGCAGCTGAGCCACCCTGAGATGCTCGTGGCCACATGTGGGCCACAGTCAGAGCTTTGAAAGTCAGTACCAAATGAATGCATAATTGGACACCAAAAATCAAGTGTTACTTTCATGTTTCCCTATCATCTCATTTCTTCCTGCTGACTCTGTGATTCCTACACTAAACTGACCAGTCAGGTTGTTGCTGGATGCATATAGACCAGCATTGCTCTCATTTTTTCAGATAGACTTATTCTGTGGAAAGGAAGTGGCTTAGCTGCTTTGATTTTGTAGCATTTGGTGGCTGAATTTTCTTTTGCTAATCACTAACCAGAAAATCTGGCTAGGAGGTCTCAACTCACTCCCTTAGGTCCCCAGGACTAGATAGAGAATTATTCTGGAAAATTCAGTACTTGAATGTACCTGCCTTATTGTGTACCACTTTTTGGGGGGTGGGGGATTAGAAACGCCAGCCCAGATCTCCACATCATTTGTGGGTTGTTTTGGAAATCCTGAAACTTCAGTTCCTGTTCGTGTTTTGTTGTCATTGCTATTGTTATTTTTTACCTTTGGCTGATTCCTGCTGAATGGGGCCAGTTCCTTGTCAGGCTCAGGGCAGGTGCCATTCTCAGGCATGGCCTCCTTTCCATCTAGCACAGCATCTATGTCTCTGTTCTGTCTCCTCCAAATCCAAGATGATTTTAATTAGTACAGACATGTACAGTCTAATTAAAGTGATTTGTACTAATATGATTTTGATTCTTCCTCTTTGCTGTCCTTTCAAGACACTTGCTGGAAAAAGCTTTAATGCACTTAGTTTTCATTTAGGTTTTCTATAACTCAGATGTAAAAGACTTTCTCTGTACAGTATATTATCCAATGCATGTTTGTTCTCTATCCTGATATATTGAACACCACACAGTTGTGAACTCGTGCAGTGGGGATACCCCACACTCAGCGGAGGCCTCCAGCCCCGTGTATAAGGAAGACATTTTCCTTTGCTGTATTTGCTTGAGCAGTTTTATTGTCTGTACATGTGAGCTGTGTGAGATAGATGTGAAAAGTTCAAATGAATGCATTTTCCTGCCCCATGTATACAGAGCGTCATCTGTACAATGAACTGTATGTATGAAAGCAAATGTACTTATTTATAAATGGTTAACACTTGGAAAGAACTGGCATTGTGGTGCTTTTCTCCTTCCATTATGCTTTCTCCATGAAGCTGACATCTAGACTCACCCTCTTGAGTGAAGGTACACCATAGTACTGAGGGTACCACCCACCAAGGAAGAATCTGGTGGGTTAACCACTGACTAGTCCAAATTATTTAAATACAGGATGATCAAAAATTGCATAATAGGAAATATTTAACAATGAAAATTTTTTCAAATTTATTCAGTACAAGAATTGACTGGTTGAAATGACCCTGCTTGAATGACCCTAGAGATAGTACCTACACAGACATGCTGCCCAGGTGACTCTGGAGGTAAACTGTTAAATGAGTAAGGCTAAAGCCAAAGTCATGGTAATTCAGTTGGTCTGTTGTGGGATATTTAGAGTCACTCCTTGCATCTATTCTCCTCTGAGTTGGATAGTGCAATAGGCATTTGAGGGATCTGTGAGAACAAAAAATAATTCTAGGGACCTTTCAGCAAAGATTTTTCTTCAGTGAGAGAGTCCTGTGCTCTTCTCATGTCATTTAGCTATCCAGCCACCTTACCAAAATCCAAGGCTGAAGTGGGCTGGCAGCCAAGTTGTCTAGTAAAGATGGTATGCCTAGGATGGGGCAGCCCAGGCTATAGATCTAGAGGCTAACTTGGTTAAAGCTCAAGGCCCATAGCTTTGAATAGTTTTAATTTTTCTTCAGAAATCTGACCATATTTCTAGTCCTCACCATATATGAGTGAAGCAGCTGCAGGATGAATAAAGAGGTGGTAGGTTTCCTGAAACTGACTCTACATTAAAAAAAAAAAAAAAAAAAAAAAATGGCCCTGAGCCCTGCATCCTTTCCTAACTGCAACCTCTTTGTCTACACTGGGAACAAGAAGGAAGGAGACCACTTCCTGTATCCGATTATGCTAAACAAACATTCCTGCTGGGTAGCTACATCCACTTTCCTAAACAACCAAAACCCAGGAAAGCAGGAAAACTTCAGGCCATGCATGGTCATCCCAACCTGGATACCAGGTCACCTTTGAGGGGCAGAGAGGACCTTAGAAGGAACCACTGGCTGGTTTACAAACCATCAGTTATTTCATGAGAAACCAAAAACACGTAAGCTCTTGGTAAAACCCCAGCTTTAGAGGATTCTTGGAGCATTGGAAGGAAAAAAGCTTACAAAAAGTTTTCCTGAACCTGATTAAAAAGCTACTCAGAGTAGAATCAAACAGCAAATCAGTAAAAAGTTTTTTGTAGGTTTTCAGAAGATTTTTGTTATTTAATTCCTTAATCGATACCTCTTAATAATTTAATAGGTAGGTGCTCCATGGTGCATATGAGCATGTGGGAGCTAGGTCCTCTGCCAGGCTGGGAAAAGAAGACAAAAACCACTGTCAGGGTGAGGTTGGGGGGTCTTTAGCTTTACAACAAGCTGGAGGAGCTGGGTGTGTTAGTATATACCTGGAATTCAGCACATGGGGCTGAGGCAAGAGAGTGAGTGAGTGAGGCCAACCTGGGATGCACTGAGACTTCGTTGGGAAAGTAAGCAGAGGGAGTTCAGAGCCCCTTACTGACTGAGTCATTCTATTCCAGGTAATGAGACGGCACTAGTGATCCAGTCAGTGATAAAGCTGTTGAGTCTGGCTGGTTCAGGGTAAAGTAAGTTTCCTTACACAAGAGAAAGGGCTCAGAGTCCCAGGCCCATTTAGCCCAAGCACTATGGTAGGAACTTTACATATGTTCTGTAGTGTGACAGATGCCTCTAATCCCAGGAGCACTCAGGAGGCTGAGGCAGGAGAGTTGCCATGAATTTGAGGACAGTCTGAACTACAAACTGAGACCTTGTTTCAAAAAAAAAAAGGAAGAGGAAGAGGAAGGCTTGCCAAGAGTTGCTCCAGGTTCCTTTGGAGAAGTAATCTCACTGAAGTCACTAGTAATTTTGGGACTTTTCACGGTTTCAAACTCAAGATGAAATCCTTGCTCTCATCTAACTTGAGAGTTTTAGAAAAGATAAAGGTATTGTCCTCTAGTGTCTGGGATCATTTGAATGTTCACACATATACAGAGACCTAGAAGATTCAGAGGCTAGCCCCAAAAGCCAGAAAATGGTGGTATGTAAGAGGCCAAGATCTCTCTGCTTCACATAGCCCTGTGCTTGACTGAGCACTTGGTTTATGACATACACCAGCTTTGTTCCCTCGATGCTTTTAAGCAAATAAAGGTCCACAAGGAACCCATGATTCATGAGAAAAGACTGCAGATGTTCAAAGGGGAACTCTCATCTCTGTCCCCGGTGCTTTAGAGAACAGCTGCAACAGACAATCCAGCTAAACAAATGCCAGGAAGCAAGTGTACATGTAGCCTGTGAGAGGATTTGTTGTAGGGTACCTTTAAAATAGTTCCCCAGTAAATTTTTAAGTTGCTTTAAATGACAGAATGAGATTGCATCCAAATTTACCACAAAAACAGCTCTTTCCTAAGCCATATAAAGTGATATAAAGTGGAACCTCAGCCTGTGCTGAGATTTTTGCTCTTCTTGGTAGGGATCAAAAAGACATATAAACGGCACACACATGCCTACAGTCCCAGCACTTGAGAAGCTGAGGCCAGAAAACCACAGCAAATTCAAAGCCAGTCTGAACTACATAGCAAAACAAAAATGATACAGTAAAAACAAAAACAGTTGAGCACTTTATCTTCCGTGCCCAGCCTGGGGACAGTTTCTCTCAACCTTCAGTGGTACTAACTTCACTGTTAAAATGTCTGGTTCCTTTCATTCCCATAGCAAATGAAGATAACAGGCGTGCAGACTGCTGTAGACATTTATTGAATTATCTGCTGCACAAATGGCACATCTACTCCCAGGAGACACCACAGACACACCAGAGAAACCACACACATCAGCTTGGGGGCCTTTTTGGTCCTTAATCATCCAAGGTCTAGGTTGGCAAACAGACCAATTTACAGACGCTCATTGCAAACCTACAATTCTCTCTCTGTGTTGATCTGGCAACAGAGTATAGAATTGTACTGTGGTAGTTTGTCTGAGGCTGTTTCCTACATGTAAACACTGGACTATACAAGTGTGTGCAAGGCAGTTAAAGAACTGATAAGATCCCTTGTCCTTGAAGAGTATACTGCTGAAACTGGAGTTAACGTCATCATCCAGGCAGGTGGGAGATGGGGAAAGAGGATGAGAAGAGAGCTGGATCAAAGCTGTGTGCTCTGAGACGTGACAGCGCTAGACGAAAGACCCACAGCAGAAGCAAATTATTAGAAATGAAAGCAACAGGAGGCCAGCCAGTTTCTGTAAGGCAGCATGTAAGTGTGGAAAGGGTAACTGTTAAAAGAATGGAAATCAGTTTGGAAATTTTACTAATTTCTTTACTTAAGTAAACTGTGTGTCTTACACTGTCAGGCTTCTTTCAGCCCAATTGCCAAATTGAAGAAGCACAAGATCAATGCTCTAATCACATTATTTCTAGACTGAAGCCAAACTGACTCAGCTAACATCACACACGGTTGAAGCAATGTCCAGATACTACAGGGGGTCACTCTCATTCTGCCTCCGTCCTAACTCCCTGCAAAGATGGGACCATAGGGAGAAGGGGCTCGCCCCTCAGAATAGAAGCAGCTGCTCACACCAAGCAGTGTGCCAAAGCAGCCCTGTGTCGGGCAGCAGGAACAGCAGCTCTTCAATTATGACCTGTGCAGAAGGTATGTATTCCGCTTCTGAAAGCAGCGCCTGAGCTGGCTTGAGTGGAGCAGGGCTGGCCAGGGAGGGCTGTCCTCACTGGCTGGGGCATAGGGCATGTGTGTCTGAAGCCACATGCTTCTATCCCGCCCACCACCAAGCCATCCTGGGACTCAAGGGTTAAAGAATAGGAAGGCCCAAGACTGCAGCTGTGCCTCCTGGGGCCAGTCCCTCCCCTCTCCTGGGGAGCCTTGCTCTGAACACCAGCATACTTTACACATAATATCACTTGCTCAACTGCCAAGAACAGGCCCACTGCTACTCAGGCTACATAGATTCCTGGTTTGAATTCAGTGTTAACAAAGCATCAGGCCTGTCCCTGAGACCCTAGAGTTTCCAGGGCTTCACTCCAGCATCTTCTGCTTTGAGATGAGCCATTCTGCAGCTCCTCCAGGCCCCTACCCAAACCTTCTTCATTTGAAGGGGAAGCAATGGCATAGGCCTGTATGTGACTCAATGGACACTTCTACAGCAGCAACAAGGAAGGAAAGCAAAGTGTTAATTGCAGCCCCAGCAACCGCTCAAACACCACTGCACCCCAACTCCTCACTCACTACCTGGACCCTCCTCTGGTGCCTGAAGACTCAGCCCCAGCAGGGATAAATAAATGATATTTGTGGGAGCCCCACAAAACCAAGGGACCACCCCTGCCAGGCCCCCAGACAGGACAAGGACAGGCTATCACTGGGAGCTGGGGCTGTCCCCTTCCGTCAATGTCTTGAAGTCCATTGAGAGGGCCTGCTCTTCAGCCTGGGGAGGCCGCTTCCAGTCAGCCTGAGCCAGGATGTAGAGGACAGCCACCCCGAAGCAGGCCAGCAGCAGGCCCAGCACATTGGCCAGGATCCCCTCAGGCTCAAACGTGCTGTACTTGGCCCTGTGGAGAAGAATGGAAAGGAGAAGCCACCTAAGGTGATGCAGCAGGCCAATGCCATTCACTTCCGGGGCCACAGTTTTGTTAACACCAGCCCTCGCCATTCCTTCCCAGACAGAAAATCACTGCCCACAAAAACTTAAGGTGCAGTGAAGCAGAGGGCAGGGCTCCATCTTTGTAGAGAGCTGGGGCCCACCTCTCCTGCTTAAGACACTCACCCAAGTTTAAACAGCAGTGCCTCCTTCAGGCCAAGCAGAGCTGTGCCCACAGAAAGGAGAAAAATGGTGGCACCAAAGAAAATATGTTGAGGGCGGTAGCGGCTCCGCAGAGAAAATGAAGCTCCAGGGAACAGGAAGAAGGTGAAGCCCATGAGCCACTAGAAGAAAAGGAGAGGCAATGCTGGACAGTGCTCTGACAGGGGAGGAAACGAAGGCAGCCTCTGCATCCCTCACCTGGCTCCTAGGAAAAGGGTGCTTAATGTACTTACAGAGAAAGGGTCCTGGTCCTCGGTACTTAAGGCTATTTTCCTTGAGGCCTTAGACCCACAGCAAAGTCCATCATACTTTGCACTCAGGAGTTTGGGCATGTGACCATGTGTCAAGTCCTCAGGAAAGGCACCGGGACTGGGCACCCCTAAAATCCTGGCTTCATTCCCATCACAGTATCTGGAGGTAACATTCCAACCAAACCAACCAATTCTCACATTTTGAGCCACCTTGGAAAATGAGCCCCTCTGTTGCAGACACTTTAGCCTCTTCCTCCTCTCCCCAATACAATGGCCAGGACCTGGGGTGCTGGAAAGACTCACCTGTATGAAGTAAAGGACAAAGACAAGGATCCCGCACCAGCTGTGCAGGCTGTACAGGTCAGCATAGTCCATCTTCCTGTGGTAATCGAACACAGCCACCAAACCTAGACCATAGACAGAGGCCATGTGAGGATGGGGCTAGATATAGAAGAGGGAGGGAGTGGGATGGCCTGAGGGGAACTGGCTAGCTGAAGCTTCTGGGCTTTGGTCCAGCCCAGTAATGGCTAGCACCCAGTGTCCCTGCCTGGGACATCTCGGGGAGGGAAGAACGTGGAGCAGGACTGTACAGTTCTGGGTAGGGAACCGCACTTGCACAACAGCTGCTTTTCAAGCCTGAAGCAGCAGGTAGGGGAAGGAATGGCTGTGCCCGGGAACTTACCCACCAAGGCTATGATGAATGCAAAGACATGCAGCAGCCCATGCAGGACCTTGGTTGTGCGTTTGGCCTCTTTCCTGAAGACACGGTAAACCAGCAGGGCTTATGGGAAGACAGAAGGGGAACATTAGTGCATCAACCTCTGCTGCAGGAGCAGCATAGAGGCCCGTGCTGATGGGAAGGATCTGGGACAAGGGCCATCAAGGTCTGCCAGTCACAGGAACTGGAGAGGATGACAGGCCTCTAGGAGCACCTTGGGTAGCTTCTGGGCTTTGTAGAATGGACCCCCCTCCTCAGCCCTGCCCACCCCTACACTCCCATGCACACTCAAGAGGCCAGGATGGGAGGCTGTGACACAGTTCCTGCCACCACAAGAGCAGCAAAGGTAGGACTCTGCCCTTAGCCCTACCCAAAATCACAGCTGGGCCAGGAGACACTCACACCCCCTTCTTGTTAGGGAGCCTGTGATTTCATTCACTCAGTGTTTTGAATTCATTGGGCAGCCACACTAAGATAATAGCCAGACTCTGAGTTTACCTTTAATGATGTCACTCACCGCAAAGAGTTCTATTCTCTAGCCTGACCAGATTGTTATCGCTCTTGGCAAGCAGACTCCTGGTGCCCAAAATGGAACCTGTAATCCTAACCTAATCCTTGCTATGTCCAGCTGTGATGCTATGTCTAGCCAGCAATGGTTGTCACCAGGCCACTGCTAGAAAGAGTCGCTCAACTAGCTATAGTTATGGCTTCCTGGTTCCCTGGCTGCCCCAGGCAAAAGTGCTTTAGTGAGGCCAAGTCCAAGTACAGCAGCACACACGTGTGCACATACCTCTGCCCATTCTAGCTGCCCTTGGCTCTCTGATCAAGAAAGCACCCTCATCCTCCAGCCTCAGAGCCTGGATTTGAATTCCCATCTCCCAGATTTTACTCCAGCTTCCTCCTCTGTCCTTTCTAGAATCTTGGATCTGTCTAACTGGAAGAGACATCAGAGGTGACAGGATTCCTACAAACTGCCTCTCCCAGGGACAGCACAAGCTCAGGCATGGCAGAAAGGGTCCAGGAAGCCAGCACCATACAACTCACCATCTCCCTGCAGGAAGATCAGGCCTATGATCATGCAGAGGGGGTGCACATTAAACTGAAGGGTGCTCTCCCAAGCAATGCCGCCTCGGTAAAGACCCAGCCAAGCACCAGTCATGGCCACCACGGTCAGGCCCAGCAGCTGGGAGAAGGCCACGTAGTACGGCAGTGTGGAAGGGGTGGACCCCAGGCCAGTTCCACTCTCCATGCTGAGGCTGCTGCTGCAGGGAAGACAAAGCACTCAGAGGAGCCACCCACCGCCTCCAGAAGGTGTGTGTGCCTCTCCAAGTACTCCTGCCATCTCCCCCACCCCTGTGCCAAAGCACACCTAGCACTTCCACTTCTAAGACCCTTTCCTGCCATCTTCCTGGGACAGCATCCCAAGAGTCCCAGGAGTGGCTCTGTGCGAGCCCAAGTTTTTCCACAAAGACAGACCTGACCTGGGTCCAACTTGCAGGATGATCACAGGGGGAGACATGCCAAGCTCCGCAGGGAGCATGGCCCTAGGCCTGGGCTATACCTTCTGTTTCATGAGGCCATGGGTTTTCTTAGGTGCACTTTCCAGGTAAATTATAGAAAAATAAGCAAATCCCTTCAAGTACAGGGCTACTACTTTCTTATATCGTTGAAAAGGTACATTTGGGGTGAGAAATGGAAACCTCCCCCACCATGGCTTCTAAGCTCCAGATGAGCAGTCCCACCACCCTAGGAAGCCAGGCTCAGATCCCTTCAGTGGGCTCCTCTGTGCTGCAGAATAATGGTATCTGACAGCCAGATGCCTAGCAGTCTCCTTCCCTTCCTGCCCTGTTCCTCTCCAAAGTGAGATTTCTCTTATATTTCTAAAACTGAAACCACCAGACATGCAACCAACAAAGAACACCTTACACACAGAACTCACACGTATCCACAGACCCTACTGAGCTCAGGACAATCCAGGCAAGCAGGTAAAGCAGGTAAATTACTATTCTCAGAGGTTCAAGACAGCTTGGCTTAGGAGACTCACATGGGCTCCAGTGTGTGTATAGACTGTGACAGCAGGACAGCCTCAGGGCCAGCTCTTTACCCTGCACCTGTGGGTTTTCCTGTCCCCAAGCCCAGCCATGGACAACCAGGATGGGAGGAGGGAGCTGGAAGAACACACATGACCTTCACAGCCTAGGCCTCCTTTCCCTTGCCCACAGTGCTGACTGTAGCCAGGGCTTCACAAAATGGTCCTGCCATGAGGGGACACCACCACCAGCATGGTATGCACATGTCCATTCTGGCCCACAGCCCTTCCCTGGTCAGCTGCTCAGCAGCAGTGGGTACCAGCAGGATGGAGTTTATAGTCTTGTGATCAGGCTCCATCTGTACTCGCCCATTCTCCACCACATCTGACATCTGACAACTGCTGGCAATTCCACCGCTAAAAGAGAGGGACGGGGAGTGCTGGACAGGGTAGTGCAGACCTATACTCCCAACTAGTCAAGAGCCTGAAACAGGAGCATCACAAGTTCGAGGCCAGCTTGGGCAACTTAACCAGATCCTGCCTCAAAATAAAAATAATAATAATGTTTTTAAAAGGTGAGATGCAGCTCAATGGTCAGCAGTGGCCTAACATGCGCAAGGCCCTGGGTCCATCCCTAGAACCACCACCAAAGGGACGGGAAGGTTAGTAAGGCACACTGTTATGTCATCAACACTTGACTCATACCCTTACACACTTTTTTCTAGAAACACATACACATTTTTATTTTTTAAGAATAGTTCATGCCATTTTCTAACCTGCTTTCTTAGGTGTAACTGTTACCATGCATATCCTCTCACATCAGTGAATACCCTCTGCACCAGCATCCTAGTAACTTCACACTTACTGCACACACCACCGTTCTGTTTCTTAGCTGATGCCTGATCCTCTCATCAACACGCAGCTGCCTGGCTCCCAGGTTTTCACCAGACCAAAGGTATGCGGTGACCACCTCTGCACACTTGTGTAAGCGGAGGCTCCGCTACCACTTCCTCTCCGCTGCCTTCACTGCCTCATGCAGTCAGGGCTGCCAGCCTCTCCCACGGCGTTGTGCCTGACGGGCCAGAGACAGACCCAGCTCCCCAGCCACGTCGCCCACCAGAAAAATGCAGCCGGAACACGACTGTGCTCCTGTCCACGTGCAGGAGGCTCCTGGGCTCCCTGACTCTCATAACACAACCTGCAGCCCTTCCTCCCTCCACCTTGGCTAAGCTGAGCTTAGCTCCCCACTCCTACTGCCTGCACACATCCTCTTCATTCCAGGCCCACAGACATCTTGCTCACCTCTTTCCTGTTTGTCCCCAAGGGTCTCCAGAGCTTCCTTCCCCTTCTGGTTCTTTCTCGGATTAATCCCACGGCGCTCCTCTGCTCACTCCTGGAGGACAGGGAGGACCATGTGATGTATTTTTCTCTAGAACTCCACAGGTAACCTGACCCCTTGCCCAACTCTAGCAAAGAAAGTATACTAAAGGGAGAAAGCCTGTCCTCTGGTCATTTGTCCTGTGTCCTCCTTGCCAAGCCACTGCCTCGTTTATTAGATTCATACCCAGAGTACAGACAGAATGTGATTAGCTCCACATTAGGAAGGACAGAAGGAACAGCGCCCTGAGGCAGCCTGATCAGCCAAAACTTCTTTATGCCACGTAGACTATGAAAGGCAGATCTGAGGGCGGTAGGGGCCAGAGATTGCTCTCCACAGCCTATTTTCCCTGTCCCAGCCGATTTCCTCACAAGACAGGCAGAAACTCCGATGGGGTCCTTTTCTCAGAATGTGGGTCGTTACCATCCTACATTAAGAATCTGGCCCCCGATTCCCCGGGAAGTCAGCACCCAAGTGCTGCTTGCACCCACATCAGGGTGAGACAGAGCTTACATACATGCATCAGGAGGGTGGAGGCCAACAGCCCCCTGGCTCTTACCTGCTCTGACCTAACCCTCGACCCACAGCTGTGCATGCAAGAGCACTACCCACTCCAAAACAGGGCTCAAAGATGACAAAAGTCACTGTCAGCAAAGAGCTGACCTGCAATGTGTCAGCACTGCCAGGTGCTAGATCTATACAGAGAAGACAGTTTCTGCTCCAGGCCAGGGGAGCCAACCTATGGCAGGCACGCTGCAGAGGGTATCCGTATCCCTGAAAGTTCTGAAAGGTTCACCAGTACTGCCCTGGGCCCTTGAGGACAAGTTGCCACATAGACACAGATGTTAAAGGAAAGTGCGTAAGAATTTGGACCTGGCTCAAAGAGGGGAGCCCCTCCTTTAAGAAATGACCTGTTTGTGAGGCTCCTGCCTGGCACCCTATGTCTCCTACTGGCTCTGTACTTTCTAACTCCCAGTGATTAGGGTGGCACTGTCACAGTCACTCTGATGCAGGGCTCTGTGATAGTTTTTCTCTCCCACCCCGGCCAGCTTCCTGTTCCCTGCTCACCCTCCACCCCACCATGGCACAGACACAGGTACTGCCGCGCACCTAGGAGAAAAGGCTGCAGGCTTGAGTGGGGAGGTATGAAAAGGGATCTCAGGAGGAAGAGCTGCTCTCCAGGGCCCTACAGCCCGGGGCAACCAGACACAGGAGAGAGTTGACCTTTGGAACTGCAGGGCAGAGGGAGAAGGTCTGATCTGAAAATGATGTTGCAAGGTCTAAGCATAAAAGATGACAAAGTGGCAAGACCACATGGTCTTCCCTAGGGGTGACCTCACAGTTACTAAATTCTAAGTGCAGAAAATCCAAGTTAAAAAAAAAAAACACACATAGTGAGAGGTTCTATAACTTCAGAGAGATGAATGAAAAGAGTCCTTTAGCAACAGGACTCCCCCAAAAGCAGTTCAGCTACACATAAGTGGTAGCCCATCTGTGCCCAAGGAGGTCTAGGATATAGGGAAAGATGCGCCCAAGGCTCTGCCAGAACCCAGGCTGCCATGGGCTCCCCTTGACACTGCTGATCATTTGCTCCCCAGTAAGCAAGCATCTCAGCGTCATGGTGCCTTGTTTCCCAATCATGACAGTGAAAACACTCCCCTGCCCTCCACATTTCCTTCACACCCACGTTGCAGACTGAGCTGGACCTCTGTGTCCCACAGCAGAATTGTGGGCTGTGGCTTCAAGGGCTGGAGGTAGCCACTTCCCACCATAAAGGTTTTCTCTGCTCATCAGCCAAGTCCCCCACTTGGAAGCATGTGGCCCCTTCTCACCCTTCTTCCTCAGTGACAGTACAGGATGGGGTGGCAGGTCCCTGGCAGCTCCTGGCCCATTGGGTTGTGACCACCTGCAGTCAGACGCCATGTAATGCAATAAACCAGGGACACAGCAACCTGCAGGGCTTAACCCATGCTAAGCATCATGCTCCCTCCTCACACCCACTGAATTTCATTAAAAGTCCACCAAGCCTAATCTCATTACTGGGGACCAGGCACTGCACAGGATGTACAGCCCCGGGGCAGAGGGTGGAGCGGAGAAGGTGGGTAGCAGGAAGCCTGGCCTGGCCACTCTTTATCAGCAGCAGGGTTTTGAGTTAGAACAGACTGTGATAGAGGAGCGAACTGATTTTTTTTTTTTTTGGACACAGGGTCTCTCTGTATACCAGGCTGGCCTCAAACTCACAGCAATCCTGCCTCAGGGTCCCAAATGTTGGGATTACAAGCGTGTACCTCCACGCCTGGCTGGATTATTTTTCTTGATGGATGAAAATGGCTCAGTTGTTGAGAATGTGGTTAAAGAGAAAGCGAAGTGAGGGCTGAGCTGTTGGATGGGGCACTTTCTTAACATCCCACACCCAACGTATAACAGGAAGAAAGCACAGCTTGGGTCAGCATCAGGCACAGGGGCCTCAATGCCAGGGCTCCCGTTACTTACAAACAGGAAAGTTTCCATTTTAATTAATGAGAAGAAAATAAAATGAAAGAAAATGTTTGAATTTTTAATCTAGTCTGAATGTCTGTCTTTATAACAATACAAGTGTAAATTTAAAAAAAAAAAAAAAGAACTATTGGTTTTAGGAAGACAGGGCCATCACAAAGCCAAAGTACTCAGGCCCATGAAAGTCACAATATAGCCTGACAAGATGACACATTCTTGCAATCCCAGCACTCTGGGAAGCTAAGATAAAAGAATCAAAAGTTGGAGTCCCACTCCGTAACTTAGCAAGACCCTGAGTCCAATAAATTTTTTTTTAATTTTTTTTTAAGGACTGGGATACAGCTCAGTGTAAAGGTCCTGGGTCTGATTTCCACTCCTAAAGGAAAAAAAGAAAGTCACAATGCAATCTGGGCCAGAAAGATATGTGATTCAAAGTCAGCTCCACCGTCAATGACTGTGTTTCCAGGCAAAGCAAGTCTCCTCTGGGAGCCTGCCTCTTTGTTATATGTGCGTGTGTGTGTGTACAAAATTTTACATTTATTCAAATACTGTCATGTCATCTTCTGTGCCTGATTCTTCATCTATGAAGTGAGGGAATATTAAGGCCTACCTCCCTGGACTGCACAAAGATTAACATGGGAAAATACCTGCAAGTCCTTAGCACAGTACTGCCACACTAGGCAATGGCCTAAAAACACTAAATCTGGCCCTAATGACATCCTCAGAGTCACATGTCAGCAGCACATGAACATGTGCTTAGGGCCACATCCCTCTAATACATTCATATTCTGCTACTGTCAGCCTCCCACACTTCTGGAGTAGAAACTCCAGAAACAGGAAAGCAGGCAGGATGAGCTGCTTTTAATATGTGACATTGTAGATTCTCAAAACCCACTTATGAGTTGATTAGAAAGCATCTTCCCAGTCAAGCTGCCTTTTGCAAATGATTCATTTCTCATGATGTCCACCAGCACTGGGATTAGGAAGCAGAACCTTCCTCTTGTTAGCAGGTCTAGGAAAGGTGGCAGGGCAGCCAAGCGGAAGCTGGCTCCACCTCCAGTGGCAGGTGCTGGGGGAGGGGTGGAGAGAGAGCGGCCCAGGATTTTGCTGCCTGGATCTAATTTCAGGGAAGATCGAGGCATCCAGAAGAGAGGGCAAAGATGTTTTATTTTTGTTTCCATTTGTTTTGAGAAGAAAGGAAGAGAATCCAAGCAACCTCGGGTGGACTTCATTTAATGAATCTTAGGAAACTCGCGAAGACTGCCAAGGTGGAAAGGGAAAGGAGAGGGGCGACCTTCAGGGACAGCCTCGGGACAGGTGCCAGCCTCCCGGACCGAGTCCACATGGGCCCTCCGCTCTGTGCCCGCGATACTGCGCGGAAAGCAGGCAGGCGGAGAAGGGAGGCGGCCCGCCAACACCCAGGTGTCTGAAGCGGCGGCAGCACTGCCCAGTTCCTCAAATGGGGTACCCACCCTCGGGGTCACCACGGCCAATGGAATGCAAGGGGCCAGACTTTCCCAGTCTGGAAACTTCTACTCTCACGAAGAAGCTGAGGTGTCAGAGGAGGAAAAGGAAGGGATCAAGATCACAACGCAGGACCCGGCTACCACGAAAGAGGGGGGGCCCGGGTTTCAGGTTTCAAAGAACAGTCGCGCCAAACAAACGCAGGTCGCTCCACTTCCCCACCGCGCTCCAGCCCCAGGTGGAAGCCTGCCCGCTGGTGTCGCCGTCGAGCTTCGCTCCGCGAGACTCGGCCGGGGGAGCCAGAGCCCGGAAGGCGGAAGGGAGCCAGCCGGACCCGGGATCCCGCCGGGGAGCTATCCCAGCCCGGGGCTCGGGGGCGGCCCTCGCGGGTGGGAAGGCCTGCACCCAGCCGGCGCGCGGCGGAAAGGGACGGAAAGGCCCTCCGCGGCGCGAGAGCCCGCGTTTCCGCCGCGGGCGCCGGTCCGATCCTCGCCTGCCCCGCACGCCGAGGCGGCCCCGCCGCGCCCCGAGCTGCCACCCCGTGGCGCGGGACTGCGCTCCCACTGCCCCCGCCGCCTACCTCGTCCCGTCGCGCGGCGCCGCCGACCCGCCAGCCGGCCTCCCCGCACCAGGCCCGGGCCGCTCTGCAGGTTCGGCGGGCCGCGCCGGTCTCCGGGAGGGCGTGCGGGCTTCGGCGCGACAGCGTCACCATGGCGACCGGGCGGCGGCGGCTGGCTGGCAGCTGGGCGGGCGGCGGCGAGGGCCGCTGGGCCCGGAAGCACCTGCCTGCGAAGCCCCGCAGTCGGGGACAGACTCCGGCCCACCGGGCTGGCCTGCACGTGCCGGTGCTCCGGCCGCGCGTGGGACAGGCCCCGCCGGGTCCCCGGATACCGCACTGGGATCTGGGCTGGCGAGCGCCTTCCGGGGCACCGACTTAGGAGACGTGCGAGGGCTGCGCCCCGATGAACACGAGAGACAGGAGCCTTGGGCCCCCGCCTGCCCGGGCCTGACTCCACGGTGTGCCCAGGCGGGCCAGAGAGGCTGGGGATGGGACT